TAGTTCTGGGACCTCTCCAAGTACAGTTAGCGACTGGTCTACAGGCAGAGAGGGATCTGGTGCCAAGCAAAATCAGCTGTCACTGAGCAGACAGCTGCATTCAGCTGACATTTCTGGGCAAAAGAAGCAGTTAGATAAGATTGGCCTTGGAGAAGTGCAAGAACCGGCTGAGAGAATAAACGCACTTGCCGTGCAAGCCTGGTGGCTTGAGTTCAATCCCCAGAACCCATGTAAAGGTAGAAAAAGAGAAATGACTCCACAGAGTTGTCCTCTGATTTCCACGCATGAGCTGAGGCATACATGCGCCCAAACATCTCTCTCTCTCCATCTCTCTCTCTCTCTCTCTCTCTCTCTCTCTCTCTCTCTCTCTCTCTCTCTCTCTCTCTCTCTCTCTCTCTCTCTCTCTCACACACACACACACACACACACACACACACACACACACACATTAATAAAATAGGTTGCTTCTTCTAGTTACATGGAACAGAACCTAGGGATATAAAACATACGTTTGCAGGCCTTGGAGAAAGGCAGGCCTGACTCTGAGGACAGCCTGACAGACCCCTACTGAATCCTCCTTGAGCCTGACACGAAAGGTTTCTGACACTGTCTTAAAGCAACTGTGTGGTCCCAATAGGTAAGGCTCATGAGCGAACAGGTCCCATTGAGGCCAGCAATCTGGAAAAGGCTGTCATTTTAAATGACTCCTCACCTGGTCTGTCCTGCAGCCTCCTCAGGGTCTGTGCTTGGTGAGGTTACAGAAGCAGAGAGCAACTCCCTACCCCCTTGGGTGGGTTGCACCACCTGAGAACAGAGTGCCCCATCCTATTTCCATGGATACCACAGAAGTGTTCCTGTGGATCATCGCTCATCTTCAGGGCCTCTGACTGCACCAAGGCCCTACACATTGCTGGCTTGACATTATTGTCTAGTAATTTTTCTTTTTAAAAATTGCTTTCTATTACATTTTAAAATTTGTGTGTGGACTGGAAAAATGGCTCACTGGTTAAGAGGACTGGCTGTTCTTGCAGAGGCCCTGGGTTCAGTTCCCAGCACCCACATGAACATGTAACTCCAGTTCCTGGGGATCTGACACGCTCTTCTGACCTCTGTGGGCATTGTAGACATGAATGCACTTACATACATACAGGAAATACACTCATACACATAAAATAAAAAATTAAGATGTGTGTATGTATGCATGGACATGTATGTCACAGCATGCATGCGGAGGTCCAAGGACCACTTGCAGGAGTCACTTCTCTCCTACCATCATGTGAGTCCCAGGGATTGAACTGGGATAGTCAGACTTGGTGACAAGCACTTTTATCTGTTGAGGTGTCTTGCCTGTTTTTTGTTCTCTTGTTTGCTTTTTGACACAGGGTCTCACTATGTAGATGTCCTGGATAGCTTTAGTGTCAACTTGATGTACCTGGGTTAAGGGAGCCTCAATTGGGGAATTTCCTCTATTGCACTGGCCTGTGACCATATCTGAGGGCATCTTCTTGATGAGTGATGTGGGAGGGCCCAGCCCACTGTGGGTGGTGCCACCCCTGGGCAGGTGGGCCTGTGTTGCATAAGAAAGCAGGCTGAGCAGGGGCCAAGGGAGCAAGCCAGTAAGCAGTGTTCTTCCATGGCCTGTGCTCCAGCTCCTGCTTCCAGGTTCGTGCCCTGAGTTCCTACCTTGGGCTCCCTGATGAACTGCGACCTGGGAGATGTTAGCTGAATAAACCCTTTCCTTCCCAAGTTGGTATTGGTCAGTGTTTTGTCATAGTAGTGGGGAACCAGCTAGGACAGAATTGGTACCAGAGAGTAGGGTATTGCTGTGACAGACCTGACCCAGCTGTTTTGTGGAAGATTGTGGAAGTGTTTGGAACTTTGGGCTGGAAAAGCCATTGAGTGCTCAGAGTTTGTTGTTGTGTATCTTGGAACAGTTCTGCTGCAAGAACTGAAGACAATGGAGGTCTGGCTTGTGAAGCTTCAAAGAGAGGCAGAGACTATCAGGACTGTTCCTGTGATATTTTGAATTGAGAATCTGTGGGTTCTGGATGGGAATCAGCTGTGATTAAGAAGCAACCAGAACCTGAAGTGAAATTTTTGTTTTACTGGGACAATGGATGTTGGTTATCTGGGGCTGAAAAATCAGCTGTAAGTAACAAGAGACCAGCATCATTGTGGTTAACTCTTCTGGGAGGTATTTCCTCAGGCTCAGCACACAGAATGGACCTCTGCCTCTATATCAATCTGGAAGCAGGATGTGGTAATGTGTAATAGTCTTCTGCATGTTTCTGGTGTTGAAGGCCTGAAGCAGCCACAGAGAGCAGCTAAGGCTTGGCACTCTGTGAGGCCAGGAAAGGCCATATGTGAAAGTGCAGCTTCAGTTGCAGTAAAGATCCTAGGATTGAAGGGGTCTTGGAGAGAATCTGAGGCTTTGCACCTGGAGAGGAATAGAAGAGGCCATTGGTGAAGGTGTAACCTCAGTTTCAGTGGAGACCCCAACATTTGGAGATACCAGGACTGTGGGACAACCACCAAGGACCAAAGTAAGTGTGGAATGGAGCTTGCCTGGGTCTGAGAGACAAGCTGTTTGTGCTGTGGAAGGTAGAGTCAGAGGAGTGGAGCTGCTAGAACCCTTTGGAGGCCAGAAGATCGTGAGTGAATCCCAGATGTCCAGCCTTGAGCTACTTTGTTGGACTTTGGATTTGCTTAGGTGTGCCCAATTCTTCCCTTTGAAATAAGACAGTACTTGTTTTGGATTTTACATAAGCCCACTTTTAAAAGAGACTATGGACTTTTAAGTGTCTGGATTTTTAGGGACTATGGGGCTTTTAAGGTTGTACTGTCTTATGTTGTGATATTAACATCATATCTTGGGGATGAGAATTGGAAAGGTTATGTTTAAATAGTGATGTGTTATTGTTTAATAGTGATGTTTGTGTGTCAAGTTGACAAGGGGTCAGTTGTGCTGGATAGCTTTAGTATCAACTTGACACACCTGGGTTGAGAGAGCCTCAATGGGGAATTGCCTCTATTGGACTGGCCTGTGACCATATCTGAGGGCATCTTCTTGATGAGTGATGTGGGAGGACCCAGCCCACTGTGGGTGGTGCCACTCCTGGGCAGGTGGGCCTGTGTTGCATAAGAAAGCAGGCTGAGCAGGGGCCAGGGGAGCAAGCCAGTAAGCAGTGTTCCTCCATGGCCTGTGCTCCAGCTCCTGCTTCCAGGTTCCTACCCTGAGTTCCTACCTTGGGCTCCCTGATAAACTGCGACCTGGGAGATGTAAGCTGAATAAACCCTTTCCTTCCCAAGTTGGTATTGGTCAGAGCGTTTTGTCACAGCAATGGGGAAACAAACTAGAACAGTAGCCTAGGCTAACTTTGAACCAACAACGCTTCTGCCTCAGTATCCTGAGTAGTGTGATTACAGGTGAGCGCCCGGCATATCTTCCTGTGTCATTTGTAAAACCACATGTGTGTCCCTCAGTGTCCTTTCTGTAGAGCTTCTGGCTATATTTCAATTTCAGTTTCATTCTAAGGGACAGACTCTGTGGGTGATGTCAGACGACTGCGTGGATGATGTTAGACTGTGATGTCAAACTGTGTAGGTGATGTCAGACTGTGTGGGTGATGTCAGGCTGTGGGTGATGCCAGACTGTGGGTGATGTCAGACTGTGTGGGTGATGTCAGACTGTGGGTGATGTCAGACTGTGGGTGATGTCAGACTGTGTGGGTGATGTCAGACTGTGGGTGATGCCAGACTGTGTGGGTGATGTCAGACTGTGGGTGATGCCAGACTGTGGGGGTGATGTCAGACTGTGGGTGATGCCAGACTGTGTGGGTGACGTCAGACTGTGGGGGTGATGTCTTACAGTGTGGTGATGTCAGATTGTGGGGGTGATGTCAGACTGTGTGGGTGATGTCATACAGTGTGGTGATGTCAGACTCTGTGATGCCAGTCCTTATTTTTTGTCTGCTGCTTTGGCCTCTGTTGCCCGGACCCAGAGACCCACAGCCTGGCTTTATGCTTGGCTTTGGAGACCCTCACTGCAGGAGCCCCATCCTCATCTTGGTGGGAATCTGGGTCTGTTGGTTCAAAGCCTGCCTCACCCTCTCCTTAGCTGTGCGATCTGGAATCAGATGGTGTCTGTTTGTCCATCTCTCTCTCTCGCTCTCAGCTTCTGCTGTGGACTGAGAGTAACAGCCCATCTGGACCCTAGGATAGGGAGTAGGTGAAAGTGCAGAACTCTGAGCCTGGTGCTCAGTGCAGTGTCCTGCTGTCTTTTTACCCAGCTCACAGAGGCTGGTATTTGGAAGCCCTTCCCCTTCTCCCAGAAACAGGCAGCATCTTCAACAAAGTTAGGAAAATCTGGCCTGGATAAAACATTGGAAGTCTGACATCTGCATATTCATCTGCGTATATCTGCATAACAAACACCACAGGGCCTCTTTTGCGTTCAGAATGCTTGCTCTCCTAGGAGTCAGAGAGCAGAGAGTGGGCTGTGCTTCTGCTTCTTGAGTAGCTTTGGAGAATTCTACTGCAGACCCAAGATAAAGTCACCTCTAGGGAGAAGTGAGCTCAGTGCCTGCTTGTGCCTCTCCTCCCAGCCAGCCTGCTTTGTGGGCACTTCAGATGACCTCCACTCACCCCCAGAGCACTCCTGGAAACGTGCAAAATAATTCTGGTGGACTCCAGCTTTTCCTGTGCTGATGGCCTCTGAGATTTGAGAGGTTGCCTGGCTAGTGGCCAGTGGCAGAGTAGCAATCTAGGGATCCAACCTCCCTATCCCCAAATGCTTTGTAGAGCCATATCGTGAATGGTAGGTAGTCGTGTTACCTGGCTGCTAGTGTGGGGTTATGGGTGCCTGAGAAATCATGGTCAAGGCTGATCAGCTGTGGGTGCAGGGTAGGAGGGTTTAGGAAAGTGTTTTGAAGTTCCCCTAGGGCCTGCTTCATTCAGTTGTGTCTGACATGAACCCAGGGCCCTCCTGGCTCCCCCTCTAGGTATGCACAGCCTTCCCTGCAGAGTTTGGCAGGTTCAACCATGTCAACATGCACCACGGTTACACCAATGTGGTGGGTCTGGGAGACTCGAGCACATGGAAACTGCCTTGCCTCAACCGCTATGTCTACATGTTCCTCGCACCCCTCTTGATCCCTGTCTTAACTCCCCTGGTGGCTCTCGGTGAGTACTGTTTGAGTATCCTGAAAAGTCCCACCCCACCCGTTTCCTTCCCTCCTGGCTTTGTGGATGCTCCTTGCCCAGCTAGCTGGGAACCCTAAGTTAAGACCAAAAGACAGTGGAAAGAGCCCTGGACTTGGCCCAGAAGTGTTCTGCCCTTACTGGTGCCAGTGGGCAGGTAACTCGCCCTGCCACAGGCTCTTCACCAGCTCAAGGGTGGTGTGAAAGCAAATGCAGGGTTAGCTGTATCACAGCTTTACAGATGCCGTGCATAAAAACTACACTGTGGGTTTTAGTAGATGCTATCGCCGGAGCAGTACCCCAGGGGGGAGGAATGGGGCTTCAGAGCAGGGGCAGGCTTTGACCTTGGCCAGAGTGCTCAGTGTTTCTACTTCCTTATCCAGGAAGAGGTAGACCTGCTCTTTAGGGCTGTTGTGTGAGTTCACTGAACACACTCACAACGCCCTCTACCTTAGCACACCCAGCCACCAGCTCATGATGGCGCCCCATTGATGCTGTGTCTTGCTCTCTGACAGAGCGGCTGAGGCAGGAAGAGCTCAGGATGGCACTACGGACACTTGGTCTCATCTCCCTGGGCCTTTATTCTCAGTACTGGCTATTCCTGAATGTGTCTGGCTTCAAGAGCCCCAGCTCAGCACTGGCCTGCATGCTGCTCACCAGGTCCCTGCTGGCCCACCCGTACCTCCACGTCAACATCTTCCAGGTAAGCTCCCAGCCCTGGGTCCAGGTAGCTAAAAGGAATGTCTACAGGGTGTCTGCTAACAAGCTGTACCCAATGTTTGGGGAGAGAGGTCACCCAAGGAGCCCTGCCCCTCCCCTGTTATCACAGAGAGTTTCAGTTTCAGTGAGGCCTTGGCCTCATTCTGGAGAGACTCACTCTGCTTTCTTCTCCACTCTAAACCCAACACATCATTCAAGGTCAAGTCTGCACATCCTTTTGCCTTTTTAACTCAACAAGCATGCACAGGGATCTTCTTGGCTAAGGCAGCATCTTAAGTCTAGGCTGCTTGGAGGTGAGTAGGTACCTCTGCTGACACAACACAAGCAGATGGGACACAGTGAGAGAATTTCAGCAATTAATCACTGGTGTGCTAAGTGCCGGGGGTATTCAGAGAGCTCTAACTGCGGGTCCTTACCCATATGGGAGCAGGGAAGTCTCCCTATAAGGAATGGTGTTGGAATTGAATGCTGAGCCCCTGGCTGTCACCACAGACCCTCCATCTCCTGCTGTGTCATTGGCCTACCTCATGGCATTAGCTGGACCCTCACTTTGCTCTACTTGGGCATCCACATACAGATGAAAGCATGCCACCTATATGAGGCAGAGTGTCACAAGAGCAAGCAGCAGGGGGTCAAGGTCATCCAAGTGCCAGAGGTCTGAAAAGTGCCTAGAGCACTGAGCCCTTCATGGTCCAAATAAGGAGAAGCCTTGATGTGGGAGAGACAAAGACTGGGTTAGCACTGGAACCGGCCCAGAGCTTCAGCTCCTCACTCATTGGAATAGAATCCCACTAGGCCCGAGGGCTTGGTGAAGACAGGCCCAGGGCTGCCTAGGCCAGCCAGGGTGTGACCCATATGTCCACCACAGCACATCGGGCTGCCTATGTTCTCACCGGACAAGAAGCCACGACGGATTCACATGATGAGCCTGGGGGTGCTTAACCTGCCCCGGCTGCCGGTACTGGACTGGGCCTTTGGCCACTCACTCATCAGCTGCCACGTGGAGCATCACCTCTTCCCTCGGCTCTCTGACCACATGTGCCTGAAGGTAGCCAAGAGCTGGGCTGGAGGGCAGGAGGACGGGCTTGTCTGAAGGTGGACAGTGGGCACCTCTAGGGCTCACCTGAACCCTGAGTCCTCTCATTAGCTTGGTCATGGGTCACTCAGGAAGGGCAGCTTGGAGTATAAGCAGAAGCAGGAAGTTCAGATCAGAGTCACCTGGATTTCTTAGAAGCAGTGTGACTCTGGGCAAATTTACTGAGCCTCAGTTTCTTCATCTGTAAAATGGGAGGAGACAGGGCTCACCTTGATGGGCTCTAAGGATGAAATGAAGAAATACATTTGAAGGAGATGATTAGCAAACGTGAGCTATGCTCGCTCATCTTTCTGAGGAGGGCGGGCATGCAGTCTAGAGTCCTGGGGAAGATGTGGGTGAGAGGCCACTCCTCCCCTTGTGTAGGTAGGGCTGAAAAGATCAGTTCTCTTAATACCTCAGCCCCACTTTCCAAGCATTCTGAGTTGAGATAGGTAAGAGCTAGGGCTGAGCAAAGGAGGGCTTCTTGGGGTGGACAGGCCTGGGACTCAGAGGGCTCTCCTTTGGTGCATCTTCCTTAGGTGAAGCCCGTGGTGTCGAAGTTTCTCCACGACAAGCAGCTACCCTACAATGAGGACTCCTACCTGTCTCGTTTCCAGCTGTTCCTCGATCACTATGAAGAGTTCATGGTGCAAGCCCCACCCATCACAGAGCTGGTGGGGATGCAGTGAAGGCCGGGTCCCCTCTCCTGGCCCTGCTGCTGCTGCTGGCCTGGGGTTGGGAGAGGGGCCTGGACCATGGAGGCCTTTGAACAGACAGCAGCTCATGCTTCATGTCCTGGGGTCACCTACTCTGTTTGCTTTTTCTGGGATGCAAGGAAGGGTGGTGCTGGGAGGAAGGAATATAGTGGCTGGGCATCCTGGTTTATCTAAGCCTTGGCCAATTCCATCTCAGGATCTCTCTCTCTGCTCCATCTGAGCCTGGGTAGGGCTGAAGGTATTAGTGACAGAAGGTGAGGTGGAATCCCCATACCAAAGTGGAGGGGGTACAGAGAGAAAGATCAGCCTCTTGGGCTCTGGCCTCCCTGATGCCCGAGAATGGCACACCAGCTCGGCTGCTGCTGCTTCCTGTACCTTCTGAGATTCTGGTCCCCCAGGGCCCTCTCCCCTGAGATGACAGGGTGAGGTCACTTTTGGCAGACCTCCCTAGCTTCTTCAACCAGAGATGACTGTGCCAGGCTCAGCTGCCTCCAAGATTCACAGTATCAATCAGATAAAAGTATGTTTTGAGGTAAAAGCTCTCCAGAGGAAATGAGGGGAGCCATACCTCAGGCACAAAGCTGGGGGAAGAGCATAGACGGCTTTGAGTGTGACCTTGGCTAACTCTAGACAAGTCTGCTTTGTTCCATGATGTTTAGAAAGAGACAGAATTACTGAGAGGTAGGTGAGGCTGGAGGAGGTCACTGGAACTGGGTCTGGAGGACAGAAGGCCTTACAGAGGGTGAAAGAAGGAAAGGTGGGTGGGGTGAGATACAAGAGCTTGAAAGCAGGGGTTGGGCTAGGCTGGGGGAGGATGGTCTGTAGGCTGGGTGTGAGGTGGGAATGTAAGGGAGTCATTGATGCCAAACACAGGAGGAAGCCAAGCTGGGGACCACCACTGAGGTCCAGCCAAACAGGCAGCTGAAGATGCTGGGAACTTCCCTGGCCAGAGGAGGCAGAAGAGGGTTCAAGGAAGGGCCCAGTGGAGGCTGAGGGAGGGACAGAAGAGGCCAGGCCTGTGCCAGGAGGCTAGAGAAGTTAGTTTATAACCTGGTTTCTCACCTCAGCACTACTGGCATGATTTTTATCTAGATGATTCTTGGTGGGCTGTCCTGTGTGCATTATATGATGTTTAGCTACACCCCTGGTTTCTACTGACCAGATGCTGGGAGCCCCAAGTCCTGACAATCAAAAATGTCTCCAGATATAGCCAAATGTTTCCTGGGTGGCAAACTTGTCCTTGGTTGAAAATATGCAAGTCATTTTTCTGAGTGCACAATTGCATTTTCAGTTAAAACTTTGTATAGAGAGAAGGGCACACTTACCCCAATGATGGGAGGCTAAATGCCAGCCAATGGAATGGGCAGGCAACTGCAAAGCCTGGTCTGTTGGACAGCCAGCCCATCTCTGGTGTTCAGTGTGGCCCAGGGAGATGTAGCCACCCGTTCCCTGCCATCCTTACCTGGCCTCCTCTAGCAGACACCCTTTCCCCCAGCTATAGCTCTTAGGCACACAGCCTCTTCCTTGGGCTTCTTTTGGGCTGGGCCTGGCATGGCAGTGGCTTCCAGCTGCTGCTGGCTGCTGAGTGCTTCTCTGCCCCCTTAGCTCTGCTTGAACTGCTGCACAAAGTTCCTTCATTGAACACTCTTCACTCACTCCTTTGGAGCCTGTGCCATCTGTTCCCTGCTGGGAAGCTCACTGACAGAGCAGTTTTGGATCCAAACAGCAGCCCTTTTGGAGTGGGGCAGGCTTGGCAGCCTCTGCCGCCTCTTGATTTGCTATATGTTATTGCTGCTCATTTGAAATGCATTAGCAGTTCAGAAAGGGCCTTAAGGTCTGGAAGTATGATTCATCAAACTGTGAATTCTCCATATGAAAAATGTAATGTCAGAAAAGGGTCCCGGCCACATATTGCAGGCTGATTAAAGCCATCCAAATATACAACCAGTGACTCATTGTTATTGATCTGGGCCTGATGGGGTGCATTCCAGGACAGCAGCTGGAGGCCCTGGTATTGCTCATGATATACCAGGAGCAAATCGCTTGGTTTCTTTGAAGCTCGATTTTCTGTTACTCTGAGGATGTGGGTTAGGAATACCTGAGGCTTGAGAGGTGAGAGGGTAACAGTAGTGATCAAAGTGCTTCCAGGACTCTGCAGAGACCCAGGGTCTAGTTCAGAGCTGTCTTTGGGAGGTGAAAACACTAATGACAACCACTGGTACTGTTTGCTTACAACATATGGTAGATGTTTTACCTATGTCATCTAATTTTAATCTTTACAAATTAGAACTATTTTTTTCTCATGCTCTAAATGGAGAAACAAGGAATTTGAATTAGTTTCTCAATGTCATATGACTGGTAAGTGCAGACTGGGGATTTGAACTCAGTGATTCCAGAACCCACGCTGCCAACCATCACAGTGCTGTTTCTGGATAGGAAACACTCAGTGCTCCTGATGACCCTCAATTTCCATCTTTCTTCTAGAAGATAGGATAATTGATGAAATTGATGATCTTATCATTAAGATAAATTCTTTAGGGGCTGGGGCTCAAGTGGTTGAGTGTTTGCCTAGTATGCAGGAGACCCGGGGTTTGGTCCCCAGCACATCATAACCAGGTGTGGTGACAGGAGGAGCAGTATTCAAGGTCATCCTTAGCTACAGAGTAAGCTTGGGCAACAGGAGACTCCATCAAAAAAAAAAAAAGATAAATTTTAGGCCAGGTATGGTGATGCATACCTTTAGTCCCAGCATTCAGGAAGCAGAGGCAGGCAGAGCTCTGTGAGTTCAAGGCCAACTTGGTCTGCATAGCAAGTTTCAGGACAGCTGGGGCTACAGGGAGACCCTGTCTCAAAAAGACCAAAAAAAAAAAAAAGGAAAAAAAGGACAAGAAAACATGAAGTTGGGGTTGTGGGAATGGATTTGGGAGGAGTTAATGGGAGGAGTTAAGTGAATATGATCAAAATACATTGTATTAGAACATTTATTAATAAATTAATATTTTTTAAAAAAGGAAGTGT